GTAAGTGCAGTAGGTATACAGTGCATGTATATTATATTTATATAGCGCTAACAGGTGTACTCAGCACTTTACAGGTTACATTACAGTAGAGGGAGGTACAGTAAGTACAGTCGGTATACAGTGTATGTATATTTTATTTATATAGCGCTAACAGGTGTACTCAGCACTTTACAGGTTACATTACAGTAGAGGGAGGTACAGTAAGTGCAGTAGGTATACAGTGTATGTATATTATATTTATATAGTGCTAACAGGTGTACTCAGCATTTTACAGGTTACATTACAGTAGAGGGAGGTACAGTAAGTGCAGTAGGTATACGGTGTATGTATATTATATTTATATAGCGCTAACAGGTGTACTCAGCACTTTACAGGTTACATTACAGTAGAGGGAGGTACAGTAAGTACAGTAGGTATACAGTGTATGTATATTGTATTTATATAGCGCTAACAGGTGTACTCAGCACTTTACAGGTTACATTACAGTAGAGGGAGGTACAGTAAGTATACAGTGTATGTATATTATATTTATATAACAGTAACAGGTGTACTCAGCACTTTACAGGTTACATTACAGTAGAGGGAGGTACAGTAAGTGCAGTAGGTATACAGTGTATGTATATTTTATTTATATAGCCCTAACAGGTGTACTCAGCACTTTACAGGTTACATTACAGTAGAGGGAGGTACAGTAAGTGCAGTAGGTATACGGTGTATGTATATTTTATTTATATAGTGCTAACAGGTGTACTCAGCACTTTACAGGTTACATTACAGTAGAGGGAGGTACAGTAAGTGCAGTAGGTATACAGTGTATGTATATTTTATTTATATAGCACTAACAGGTGTACTCAGCACTTTATAGGTTACATTACAGTAGGGGAGGTACAGTAAGTGCATGTGGTATACAGTGTATGTATATTTTATTTATATAGCGCTAACAGGTGTACTCAGCACTTTACAGGTTACATTACAGTAGAGGGAGGTACAGTAAGTGCAGTAGGTATACAGTGTATGTATATATTATTTATATAGCGCTAACAGGTGTACTCAGCACTTTACAGGTTACATTACAGTAGAGGGAGGTACAGTAAGTGCAGTAGGTATACAGTGTATGTATGTTATATTTATATAGCGCTAACAGGTGTACTCAGCACTTTACAGGTTACATTACAGTAGAGGGAGGTACAGTAAGTATACAGTGTATGTATATTTTATTTATATAGTGCTAACAGGTGTACTCAGCACTTTACAGGTTACATTACAGTAGAGGGAGGTATAGTAAGTGCAGTATGTATACAGTGTATGTATAATTTTTATAACTAACCTTTACAAAATACTTAAACCTGGCTAGCTGTGGAAGCTAGGGATCGACCGATTATCGGTCTGGCCGATATTATCGGCCGATATTTGGTATTTTCGGCAATATCGGTATCGGCCAATTCAGATACCGATATTGCCGATAATATATAACAGGACCGCCGGGCCCATTACAAGCCCGGCGGTCCTGTGGGGGCCAGCCGCAAGCGCTGACTTACCTTGCATGCAGCTCCCTGTGTAAATCTCGCGAGACCCGCGGCCGCAGAGCGTTGCCACGGGTTACCATGGCAACGCTCCGTGCGGCACTAAGAGCCGCGAGATTTACACAGGGAGCTGTAGGAGCTGCTTGCAAGGTAAGTCAGCGCTTGCTGTTGCTGAGCCACCACTGTACTTAACAAGCCACTGGACCACCAGAGAATACTATATCCCCCTCCCTGGTAAGAAGCAGGGAGGGGGGACTAAACAAAAAAAACAAAACAATTAAATATTAAAAAAAATATTAAAATAAAAAATTACACAAATTACATCACTACACAAACACACACACACACAAACACATACTGCATTACATACACACTACACAAACACACACTGGGGGGGGACTAAACAAAAAAAAACATTTAAATATTAAAAAAAATATTAAAATAAAAAATGACACAAATTACATCACTACACACACACTACACAAACACACTGCACACATACTGCATTACATACACACACACTGCATTACATACACACTACACAGGCACACACACTGCATTACATACACACACTACACAGACAGACACACTACACACACACCACAAAAACATACTGCATTACAGACACACACTGCACACACTACACTGCACACACACTGCATTACATACACACTACACAAACACAGTACACATACTGCATTACATACACACTGCATTACATACACACTACACATACACACACACTGCATTACATACACACTACACAAACACACACTGCATTACATACATACACACTACACAAACACACACACACTGCATTACATACACACACAAAAACACACTGCATTATACACACACTACATAAACACACTGCATTATATACACACTACACACACTGCATTATATACACACTACATTCATTATACACACACTACACAAACAAATACCCTGCATCCACTACACACACACACACACTACACAAACACACACAGTTCCCCTGTCTAAACACACTTCATCCACTACATGTGGCATGTATATTTTGTGCATTTACCTTTCGAATTAGTTTATTTATTCAAAATAGTAAATGTACAGAATATCGGCAAGATATCGGCTATCGGCTTGAAAGTTCGCAGATTATCGGTATCGGTATCGGCTCTAAAAAATCAATATCGGTCGATCCCTAGTGGAAGCTAACGTTACAATTAGACTAGTTGATAAGTTCGCTGATGTGAATATTGTGGATGGCAGAGTCTCTGTCACGTGATGTTCAGTGAGCGGCAGTTGGATAGAGGATGCTTTTCCATGGCTTCCCTGGATAAGTGAGACCGTAGTGGTAAAGTTTTGTATGTTAAGTTCAAACTATCGCATTGTAACTTACCTTTGCATGCGTTGTCTGCCAGGGTTTACAGTGTCTGGGATGTTCTCTGCTCTGATCTGCAACTCCCATTTTGGTTAGATGCGCTCCTACACTTGGGCTCTTTCCTCTGCAAAAGTAAATTCCTTCAGTACCCTAATACCCACACTCTCCCGCGAACCCAAATGACTATTTCACACTTTTAATGCTCTCCTTCGCCCTGTTGCTCCCCCTCCTCCTCCCACCCTGTCCGCCTCAAACTTTGCAACTCACTTCACTGAGAAGATTTCTACAATTAGGGAAGAGATCTCTAACCTCTCTCCCTCCCCTTCCAATACATTACCAATCCCTACTCCCTCCGCTGTTCTATGCTCATTCGCACCACAACAATGGAAGAGGTTTCTGCTCTTCTTCGGTCATCCCACCCCACTACCTGTTCCCTCAGTTCTATTCCCTCATCCCTCTCTAGCTCTTCCTCTCACAAAAATTTTCAATCTCTCCCTCTCCTCCGGTACATTTCCCTCACCCTTCAAGCATGCAACCATTGCACCGATTCTGAAAAAGCCCAACCTTGACCCCAACTCCCCATCCAACTACCGCCCTATATCACTACTGCCATTTGCCTCCAAGATCCTTGAGAGAGTTGTGTATGCGAGATTGACAGACTTCCTCGAATCCTACTCTCTGCTTGACCTGCTTCAGTCTGAATTCCGCGTTCGTCACTCTGTTGAAACAGCTGTGACCAATGTATCCAACAATTTAATCGCTGCTAAATCTCGCGGCCATTACTCTATCCTAATTCTCCTTGATCTTTCTGCTGCCTTCGACACTGTTGATCATCAACAGCTTCTTCTCATTCTCCATAATCTCGGTCTACAGGATAGTGCTCTCTTCTGGTGCTCCTCCTACCTCTCCAATCGTTTTTCAGTATTTCTTTCTCTGACTCTGCCTCTTCTCCCCAACCCTTCTCTGTTGGCGTTCCCCAAGGTTTTGTCTTTGGTCCCTTGTTCTCTATCTATACTGCCTCCCTTGCTAAACTAATCAGCTCCTTTGGCTTCCATTATCATTTATAGGCAGATGACACACAAATCTACCAGTCCTCTCCTGATCTCTCTTTGCCCATCTTCACTTGTGTCTCTAACTGCCTCTCCGCGATTTACAACTGGATGGCTGCTCACTTCCTTAAACTCAAACTGTCCAAAACAGAACTTCTGGTCTTTCCTCCCTCAAGTGTTGCTACTCCCATGTCTGTCTCCCTCCAAGTCAACTGCGCCACCATCACCTCCCCTCGCTGGGTTGCTGCCTAGGTGTTCTCTTTGACATAACTCGCATCTGCCCTTATTTAACACCAGACGCAGCTAAGATGCTGGTCCATACCGATGTTTTTTCTCGCCTTGACTACTGCAATCCCCTTCTCAGTGGTCTTATGTGTTCCCAGATTGTACCGCTGCAATCTATAATGAATGCGGCCCCCTGTGTCGGTTCCCTAGATTGGCTTCCAATTAGATATATGGCTCAATTTAAAATTCTGGTGCTTGCTTACAAGTCCCTACATAATGCTTCTCCAACCTACCTATCCTCCCTAATACACAAATATGTCCCGTCAAGGCCCCTGCGCTCTGCCGAAGACCTACGTCTATCCTTTGTCCGTACTCCCACATCTGATGCTCGCCTCCAAGACTTCTCCAGGGCTGCACCTTTTCTGTGGAACTCCCTTTCCTTCTTAAACTTTAACCCAGTCTCTACTCCTTCAAATCTTTGAAAACACACTTCTTCAGGAAAGCATATCAATTAAACTGTTAGTGGGTTTTCATTCCCGCCCCCCCATGACTCCTCTCCTGCAACTGTCAGAAATAACCTACTATGTTCTCAGTGAGTACTTTTCTAGCAACCTATTTCATTACCCCTACTTATACCCAACTCCCTCTAACATGCAAGTTCATTGAGCAGGGCCCTCAACCCCCCTGTTCCTGTGCGTCCATTTGTCTGGTTACAATTACGTGTCTGTTAGTCCACCCATTGTACAGCGCTATGGAATCTGCTGGCGCTATATAAATAATAAAATAATGTCTGCATGATGAGAGTGGCATTCCGCAGCAGCTGCCGCCCCCGTTTAATAAGTGTATGTATTGTATAGGGATCGACCGATGATCGGTCTGTCCGATATTATCGGCCGATATTCTGTATTTTCGGCAATATCGGTATCGCCGATAATGCAGACTAGGGCCATCATCAGTGTCCTGGGGGGCCCAGCACACTCTTACCTTCCCTCCAGCTCCCCTGTCTAACTCTCGCGAGTCCCGCGGCCGTCAGAGCGTTGCCACGGGTTTCCATGGCAACGCTCCGCACAGCAAACAGGTCGCAAGAGTAGACAGGGGAGCTGAAGGGGTCTGCTGGGAAGATAAGTAAAAGTGTGCTGGACCCCCTCTACACAGTCCATGACACCGGACCACCAGGGAATGCAATATCCCCCCTTCCTGGCCAGGTAAGCATCATTTAAAAATATTTAATATTTAAAAAATAAAACAAGTTTAAGACATTAACATGCCCCTCATTTTACACACTTAACATACCTACACAAACACACACACTCTGCATTAATTATACACACACTACACAAACACACACTGCATTCACTATATACACATGACTGCTGACTGTATATTTTGTGTATTTACCTTAATTAAAAAAAAGATTTGCTAAATAAATAAAATGTTAAGTTAACAGTAGATTTGTGTAGAAATAGTTTTGTTTTTTTAAATGGTAAAGGTACAGAATATCGGTAAGTTATCGGCTATCGACCTGAAAGTTCACAGATTATCGGTATCAGCTCTAAAAAAAAAAATCAATATCGATCGATCTCTAGTACTGTATTTAGTTTTGTTTTTTTGAGCTTTTGAGATTGTGGAACAGCTGCAGCGCACAACCTCAGCATTCTGGGTCCAGCTGCTGGCTCTCCCTTTAAATGAGGCCACGTGCCGTCTGGTACTTTAGGATTCGGTGACGCCATTCTGACGTCAATTGCAGCTTTGGGAGAATTCAAGGCCAAAGGAGCAGAAAGAGTTTGAAAAGAAAAGGAAAAAAAACAAAAAACTTAAAACAATGAATACTATGAAACGGTGGTAAACACCCCATGGGTGTGGAGATCAGGGTGCAAGGTGAGCGAGAGAACTAATCCGTCCTGAGATTATGCCCGTTTCGCAGGCTCTCTCTTCCCTGGATTCCCCATACTGACCTTGTCACTGCTTCCTCCTAACTGTAAACATTGTATCCTTCCACTGCTCTCTCAACACTAATCTAGTCCCCGAGAGCCGCAGGGATTTGCAGCTGTTTGGAGCCGTATATTGTGTCATGGCAGGGAGAGCAGCCTCGCACAAGCCTATTAACTCCTAACGTGCCGGAGGGTTGTGTATCATAATACGCTGTAACCCTCTATTCTTGTGACTAAGGGGTGAAAGTTATGAAAAATGTAAAAAAGTAAATGATAAAAATAGAGCTGTTTTAAAACAATACCGCCCTGACGGACACGGTTGTCAAACTGCAACTTCCAGAATTCTCTGACAGTCATTGACATGCAGGTCATTATGGGGGTTGTAGTGTTGTGATATTTGGGGGCTGCAGATTAACACCTCTGCGGTAGGTTCTGCTCTTTTTTTTCCCCGTTCTGGCCATGAAGTTGCTGGTATAATAAAAGTGGGGCATTCCATTTCCCAATAGGAGATAGTCAATATCAGAGACATTAAGGGGCTAAATAAGCAAAATTATCCCCGACTCCCTCCCGATGGTGGAAAGTCTAGACATTATGCAATATACATCAGTCAGTAAGGGTTGTTCACTAACGTGTCAACAACCGATTGGTTCTAAGTGAATTTCAAAATGTAGACCATAGTAGACAAGCTGTAAAAAAATCTCCAAGGCAGCTGTTTTTTCATTTCGACTAGTTTGGCCTTAGATTTGAAATCAACATGAATTCCTGTCTATTTATAAGCCTGTGGCTTTTACCTAGGTTTTAAAAATGTGAAAAGAGGACGTTGAAGACACGACTAGACATGTTTGCAAGGAGTGGATCTGTCATTATTTAACTATACATATTATATGTAACCGTATGGACTAATTGCAAGCTCTTCTGTCAAAGGACACGTGTTCTATTTAGTTTGCTTGATTGTATCTGTATATACATCTGTTTGATGGCCAAAATACTGTACTGTGTAAAAAAATAAATAAAATAAATAATAATAGTTAAAAAAGAAAAACCCTTAATACAATATATAGCTTTTTGAAAGCAGATTAGCTCTTAGTAAAATCCACACTGTTGTAATATTTTTTGCTACGCTGACATTGATAACATGTGAAAATTACCTGCGGTCTTGTTTTACCTGTGCAGTCCCTCTGTGAGCCAAACAGGACTGGGGTTTATGACATCACTCTGACATATCTGATTCACCCTAGCTGAGTCTGGATCATCTGCAAACACCAAGGTTCCTGTGTTTGACCACTTGTTTCTAGTTAATCAGGAATTAAGTCTTCACTGACGAGAAATCTTCACTAATAGGAGGGATTGCTTTATCATGATATCCATTGGCACACTTTGTAGAGGAACACACCACTTGTGCACATATTTAACCAAATCCTGCCTAGGTGAGGGCGGTGAGATCCATCATGATTTTATCACTTCTTCATACCAGTGGATCGTATGTAGCATTAATTTGCTCAGTGATTTAAACTAACACTACGGACACCAATATCTTAATAGAAATGAAGTTGTTATGGTTCCATGTGGTCCCTGGCGCTAGCTTACCTTTCGGGGGTTAAGACGCTCACGAATGATTTAACCCCACAGTCTGTGTTCCAGTGCTGGATTGCTTTGCCCCCTGTCTGAAGGCTCGAGCAGCACTGAGCAGAGGTTCCACTTCTGATGAAGTCTTTATGGTGCCCGAAGTGTTCCTTTTGTGAATTGATTGCCTACCTGCATTTTCCATGTTCTCAAAGGTTTTGAGATCTACCATGTCTTCCTGGACACAAAAGAGATATGTCCGGTCGCACCTCCCACACCTCCACGCTCTGTCAGTCCCTGCATTGGCTTCCAGTTAGATATAGGGCCCAATTCAAAATTCTGGCGCTTGCTTACAAATCCCTACATAATGCTGCTCCAACATACCTATCCTCCCTCATACACAAGTATGTCCCGTCGAGACCCCTGCGCTCAGCCCAAGACCTACGCCTATCCTCTGCCCGGATCCCCACCTCTGATGCTCGCCTTCAAGACTTCTCCAGGGCTGCACCTATTCTGTGGAACTCCCTTCCCTCCTCAATCAGACTTTCACCCAGCCTCCATTCCTTCAAAAAATCTTTGAAAACTCACTTCTTTATTAAAGCGTATCAATTAAACTGTCAGCAGGTTTCTCATCCCCCACCCCATGACTCCGTTCCTGCAACTGTCAAAAATGACCTACCAAGCACACAATAAACCCTTCTGATCGCTACCTTTAACCCTTTTGAGCACCAGTGACGTTCTATGTCATAGAAGTCCTTTTCTAAAATGTATTTTATGTACAGTATCAGCACTTACTTACAAAGGTCAATAATAAATAGGCAAGATATCACATTGAGGACCAAATTGTGGAATGGAAAATTAGTATCCCCCATCTGGAAAATTAGTATTTCATAAAGATAGAATCTTTATGACGGCTGCAAGGAATTAGCCCTGTGTGGGATCCTCCATAGACCTCAATGTTGTACTCTTCCACGTGTACGGGAGCACAGGAGTGACATCGGCACACCTGAAGATGACTTACCAGAAGAAGGCAGCCACGCAGTCATGGGAATGAGTGATTTGAGAAGCCGTTGTCTGACTGTTTTCAGTATAATCTTTTAATTTCTTAAATAAACCTAAGCGATTATTCCGTGCTGGACCGCCTCTGCTGGGAAATAATTCAAACATATTTGTTTAGTATTTTAATCATTTGCAAGCAGTGATCGGCCCCTTTCCTAATTTAAATTCTTTCAATAAAACAAGATTTGATTAGAAGCTGTCTCTCCATCCATTGAAAAATCTGGGCATCTGCATTTATTGTGACTCCTGCCTAACCTGACCCACACACAGGTAGGAGGTGCTGTGTTACACCCCTATCTAATCTCTGCACTAATCCCAAAATTACTCAGACCAAGGAGCTGTGTTGTAGGCCGGCAAACATCATGTTTACAAACTGTAACTCTATTGTTGTTGAAAGCACTGCCTGAATCCACTCTCTCACATTACACAAGTACACCTGCTGTCCGTCTGAGGAATGGACAATAAGCCCAAATAGCCATTTATCTCCTCCTAGCGCCCAAGGAACATAAGATGCAGAGAGAGGATTTGCCAGCAAAGTCTAAATCTACCGTTCTAGGCCCCCCGCTACGAAAACTCCCACAATGCATTGCAGCCTTACGTCTGTGCAAAAACACTGTATGTGAATGGCTGTGTGTGAATACATGTTTTGTTTTTAATTATTATTCTTATTTATAATCCGGATGTAGCATGTAATACCGTTTAGGTTTCCCTATAAAACACTAGTATAAAAAGGATAAAGCAGAAAGAGGAGGGGGAGTGACCCGCAACCACTACGATGAGTTGTGTGATGTCATTTTACACTCTTCCCACATGGTAGACCATTCGGTTTATAGATTCATCTGGGTGTATTTTGTAACCTCAAAAGTAAATAATGAAGGCAAGTAATTCATATGAGAAATACTCCATCAGAGAAACCAAAATTAACACGTAGGCCGAAATGGGCAATTTGTCCCAACATTTCAAATATATCACACCTTCGTTTTAGGGGTGTGAGTGAAGGTGTGGCTAGGGGCGGGGCTGTTCTAAACATTATTAGGTAACTTACTGATAACAATTCTTGCAGCAAAAATGTAATTTAGAATAACAATGTATCCTTTTTACACAGACTGATTTCTAAACACATTTATTGCAGTTTAAAGGAACAGTACTGAGAGGGTTATTGCTGTGGAGCTCTGTGATACACTCACATTACTGGGAGTATTATTGCTGTGGAGCTCTGTTATACACTCACATTACTGGGAGTATTATTGCTGTGGAGCTCTGTTATACACTCACATTACTGGGAGTATTATTGCCATGGAGCTCTGTTATACACTCAGACACATTACTGGGAGTAGTATTACTGTGGAGCTCTGTTATACACTCAGACTCATTACTGGGAGTAGTATTATTGCTGTGGAGCTCTGTTATACACTTAGACATTACTGGGAGTATTATTGCTGTGGAGCTCTGTTATACACAGACACATTACTGAGAGTATTATTGCGGTGGAGCTCTGTTATACACTCTCATTACTGGGAGTATTATTGCTGTGGAGCTCTGTTATACACTCAAACACATTACTTGGGGTAGTATTACTGTGGAGCTCTGTTATACACTCACATTACTGGGAGTATTATTGCTGTGGGGCTCTGTTATACACTCAGACTCATTACTGGGAGTAGTATTATTGCTGTGGAGCTCTGTTACACACTCAGACACATTACTGGGAGTAGTATTACTGTGGAGCTCTGTTACACACTCACATTACTGGGAGTATTATTACTGTGGGGCTCCGTTATCCACTCAGACACATTACTGGGAGTATTATTGCTGTGGAGCTCTGTTACACACAGACACATTACTGGGAGTATTATTGCTGCGGAGCTCTGTTATACACTGACACATTACTGGGAGTATTAACCAAATAAAAACAAGTTACCTGCACTCTCTCCTTAATCCCTATGTATTTTTAAACAAATGGAGGTTTTTTTAGTTACCTCCAATGGCCATGAGAGGATAAGCCCACCTGCCAACGTCAAGGCAGACCCCCTAGTTTGGTCCTAACTCCAACCATTCACCTTGCTTCCTTGAGCTTCTGGCAAAGATCTCTAATGAAACAGAAAGGGGTATTTTTTTTATATATTATATATATAATGAAGTAATTTTGGTGTTTAGTCTGTCCCTGTAATGATTTCTGCAGGTTGAAATCTATCTATGTTCCAAATATTTTCTAGTGACAGTCTGCCTATATAAATGACCCCTCATCACTGCATTATATCAGACCAAATCGTAGCCTGTTGTGCCACGGCTGGTGGTTTCCTGTAAACGAATTTGAAGAGACTGTACAGACTTATCCACTTATTCTGCATCCTGGAGTATTGATACATTCAGTCGCAACTTCCATGGGGGACAAGGATTTAAATGTATAAATATAAACTGTGTGTATGATCTCATCTGAATTTAGTGTCAATTTCTGCTCTCTCTTAAATGCATGAGGCCAAAAACCTATCCATCTTTGGAGTAATTACTGCAAAATGCTTAAAGGAGGTAATCGGTGACATCCCGGTGATATGCCCTCCAAGTGTCCAGTAGCCCC